GATACGTAAAACGAGGAGCCTTATGTACACTTGTATTTCTAGTCTCATCCTTGTCTCTTGCACCATAATTGCTCATGGGGGCACCTCTTCCATTCACCTGAGCCATTAAGGACAGTGAATGACTCAGTCCACGTCATCTTTGTGTTCTGGGCTTTTACGGTGCCTGATGTCTAGTGGACACTCGTGTATTCTGCCCTCTTTCTCTCAAGAGTTATCCTCCCTAGGAGATGAACCAGGAAGAAACCCTAGGATACTCACTTCATAATGTGATACAAAAACACAAAGGGAAATTCAATCCCATGCTCCCTCTTTTCAGGCACTGACTCAAGAGGCTGAGAATGGACCCTTCTGTCCTCTGCTCACCCTCCCTTTCGAGATCACAATCCGTTCTTGTCTTTTAGAACCATAGGGAAACGGTCTGGCAAGAGCCACTGTTGTACCGGTTGATTTAAATTGAAATGTTTTCCCCAGATAAATGCGTGCTAAATAATACACCAGCTCTCCAGCCAAAGGGAAGTGACAGGCGCTCTGTAAATAAAGGCACTTAGTTACTGGTAAAGAGCTGTAAAGTGGTTCTGAGCTGATGTTTGCTGACCAGCAAGAAGCAGCTTCACCTGCTTTATATAATTGTCACCGCAGTCTTGCCTGCTGTATATTAAAACTGCATCTCATAGACCCAACTGTCACATCGGATATACCATCCAGCATGGGGTAGGCCACCTCTCCCTGTGATTGTTTTTGACAACTGGGCTTCACATCTCAGATCTTTCAGAAAGTGTCTGGTCTAGAATCCCTAGGCTGGGTCAGTTCTGACACCATGTGGGCTAGAACAGTGACGCCAAAAGGCAATGTTAATAGAGGAGAAGGAAAAGAGGTTTTGTTGGTCTTGGAAACCAAGCAATGCACGGTGGCAAGTGTCTGAACACAGATCTCAACAAAGAGCCTACCTCCTCAGTGTTAAGACCCATTTTGCACATTACACTGAATCATGTTAGAAAAACATGCCATAAAAATGCATAGATATTTTGGCCCTGAAGCACACATTTGTCCTGAGTCCTGTTGGGTTCGGGAGAGATGGTCATATAGCTCTCAAGACAAAGCAAAGGAGGGGATTTTATAAGGACTGCAGAATAAATCATGATGAAAACTGGGGAGCAGTGGCCAGAAACCTCTGTTGTTATCACTCAGGGGAAGTTAGATTTGCTTCCCCCAATGAAAAGAGGAACACAAAATCATTTTGTACTCTGTAATTCCAATTCACCTGCAGTGTGGGGATGACAAATGCCTAGAGGAAGGGTGGTGAGAATTTCAGGCCAATGAGCATCCCTGCTGGTCCAGAGGGTCTCAAGGAGAGACACAGCGACAGGGAAGCCTGGTTTGTCCCTTGAGCCCTATGGGCTGGGACAAACCCAAGGAGTGGGATGCCTGATGGGCAGCCCAAGGTGAAAACAGAGAACTCACCCATCAGAGGGAAAGTCATTTCCTGGGCTGATGGCCACCGCTTTGGAAAGTCAGAGTGTCCCCAGAGGAGAGTGTTAGAAACCAAGGACGAGAGAAGAGCAGACAGAGCAAGAAAACAAGGGGAAATGTGGGCTCAGTGTGCCTATAGTTCTCGCAGTCTCTCACTGAGAGCAGAACGGGCTGCTTGCCGGCTGCTGGAGGCCTGAGCCCCATTCCACTGCGGACCAAGAGTCTGAAAATTGCCACGAGCCCTAAGATACATCCTCTGCCTTCTTTTGGCCCATGCTCACCTGCACGCATGTGTATGTGCGTGTGTGTATGAGTGTGTGTTTGCGGTGCCCATCTGTCTCTCTCTCTCTCTTTTTTTGGGGGGGGGGCAAGAAAATAAGCTCCCTTTCCCTTTCTTTGTTATCTCCCACCAAAACCTATTTTCCTTGCTTATTCCTATACTAAAGGGAAGGCTTTTGAGAACTGGGTATGTGCAGAGAGGAGGAAACACATTTTTACCAGTTTGGCCATTATATAGGACCTAAGAGGCTGGGGTCTGGTTTCTGAGAGCTGGAAGGAACACCAACATCAGATACACATGTAACTCAATTGTGCATTGAGATTCTGATCTATGGACCTTGACAATTCCAATTATTGAATTGGGAGAAAACAGACATGTATTTTCCTGCCCCTCCTGCTCAACTCCATCTCCCCCACCCCCGAAGGGAGTGTTTCTCCTGCTCCCGCTTCTTTCCATTCCCCTTGCTAGCTCCTGCCAGGAGAAGAGGAGCATCTGATCAGGTCAGTCAGCATGTTCACTGGGCCAGGTTTTGTTAGCGTGCAAATTATTGTGCCTTAAAGCAGTGCACACAAGTCACCTGGGGACCCCGTTAGAATGCAGATTCGGACGCAGGAGGTTTGGGATGGGCGTGAGAGGCTGCATCTCTAACAAGCTCCTCAGGGGATGCCCGTGCTGAGAGGACACGCATGGAAGAATGGTACTTAAAGGCAGGAACCACATGTGGCTTGCCTCTTCCACTTCCTAGAAGGTCAGCTTACTGTCTCCTCACATCGTCAGTCACCTGCGGTCCCTGCATAGGGAGGGCAGGCAGGAGGCAGGCTTTAGCTCTCCAGGACACAGTGGGGTAGGTGAGACTCTCTTTCAGAGCCTTTACATATCGCCCTGCATCCTGGCTGAGCAGGTGGATTCCAAGATTTAGATTTGGGGGAGAGGCAAGGGATAGTGGCGTGGAGAGGTCAAAACCAGGCTTCAGACTGGATCAGTGAGGGTTACCTCGAGCCACTCCTAATAGACACATGAAAAATGCTCCCCATCCCTCGGCATCAGGGAGATACAAATCAAAACCACAGCGAGATACCACCTCACACCGGTTAGAATGGCTAAAATGAACTCAGGCAACGACAGATGCTGGTGAGGATGCGGAGAAAGGGGGACCCTCCTGCACTGTTGGTGGGAATGCAAGCTGGTGCAGCCACTCTGGAAAACAGTATGGAGGTTCCTCAGAAAGTTGAAAATAGAGCTACCCTATGACCCAACGATTGCACTGCTGGGTATTTACCCTAAAGATACAAACATAGTGATCCAAAGGGGCACGTGCACCTGAATGTTTATAGCAGCAACGTCCACAATAGCCAAATTACGGAAAGAGCCTAGATGTGCATCCACTGGTAAATGGATAAGGAAGAAGTGGTATAGATGTGCAATGGAATATTACTCAGCCGTCAAAACGAATGAAATCTTGCCATTACAACACCATGGACAGAACTAGAGGGTATTAAGCTAAGCGAAATAAGCCAGTCAGAGAAAGACAAATATATCATTTCACTCGTGAGGAATATAAGAAACAAAACAGATGAACATAGAGGAAGGAAGGATAAATAAAGTAAGGTAAAAACGGAGAGGGAGGCAAACCATTAGAGACTATAGCTAAGAGAACAAAGAAATTGAGGGTCACTGAGGGGGAGGTAGTGGGGGGGGGTGGCACAACTTGGTGATGGGCATTAAGGAGGGCACTTGGGAAGGGCACTGAGTGTTATATTTAAAGTGATGAGTCCCTAAATTCGACCCCTGAAACCAATACTACTCTTTAAGTTAACTAACTTGAATTAAAAAAAAAAAAAAATGAAGACTAGAAGCCACTCTATGCCAAATATTAAGAAAATTAGATGTTGATGCAACCATTGGAAGGGCTGTAGGAACAAAAGTTAAAGAGGCCACCAGTGGCTGTTTCACTTGCAACATGAGGTGGAAGTTTCCACAGGAGATGCGGGAGACCTCAAGGCACCTCGACGAAGGCCACAGCAGCCCCCTCAGTCCCTAGGAGCGAAGCCAGTGATGCCGAGAAAAACTCCCCTAAGAGCCGCTTTGAACCTCGTATCTGCCCAGGATCGGGCTGCCACTGCCTCCAAAGAACGAAGGCCTCTTTGCCTTTTCCAAATTTCAGATCTCATCCCTGGGCACCCCCTCCTTGCCAGACACTGGTCCAGAACTGTGCAGTGAAGGGGATTCTAGGAATGGCACTGTTGAGCAGCTGCGGGAAGGAGGTGGTCCTGAGCTGACAGAGGACCACGCACGGGCAGCCTGATGGGTCTGAGAGGCCTCACGGAGCTGAGCTCTCCCCTGCAGGGGACACGGCGCTTCCCACCCCAGCAGCTCTAGCGCTAGTTCTCACGGGCCGCGCTCCCTCCACCTTAGGGCCTGGAATGATGGGATTCGGGCCCCCATCAGGTCCCCAGGGCCTCCCATCCGGTGGAACACTTACAGCAACGATCCTGCAGTTCACGGCAAGCCTGCACTGAGGCCCCGCGTCCCATCCTGCGGAGGCCCTGATGACTGAGGCTGTTTGTCACAAGGTTTGGCTGTGCTGCCTCTCTGAGACTTCTAGATGACATCTTTACTAGCAGCTATCTGCCCAGGATCCCAGAGAGAATGACAAGGAAGGCAGAGGCAGAGCAGAGAAGGCAGACGTGAATCATTTAACTGTCATGCCTCCTGTAGAGAACGTGCGGCCTGATGAGTGCCAACTCTAGCTAAATGACTTCTCGTGTCCATATTGTCCCCACTGTCCAGGGGTCACCGTCCGTGGGTCGGCATATAACAGAGTAAAGCTTCACATCCCCGTGCAGCAATAACAATGGCAAAGCTTAACACAGCTCAAGGGCAAAGACATATACTGGAGAAGAACATGAAGAATTCTCCTGGCAGAATCTTTCCAGGGCCTGATGCTAAGCAGGTGATCCTGGTCACCAAGCCACCATTCGGGAAGACCGCGGGGGTGGCAATTGAAAGGCTGCTTTCCTCTCTGGGACGGCAACCTATTCCGGATATGGGTGTTCAAGGTCTCAAGCCTGTTTCCCAGGATGGTAAGAAGAGGCAGCTGATGCCCCTTTGAAAGCCATCCCAGCGACGGCGGGTTTCACTGCCAGGCAGGCTGCTGTGAGCCTCTTTGAATTACAGAGTGAAGGATATCCCTCTTGCCAGGCCCTGTCCCCTGTAGGCACATCGGAGAAGTATTACAGGCTGTCCTTACCTTGGGAATTAGCCTGCAAGACCCCGATGCTGTCATCAAACTGCATAGATTTGATGTTGAGTGACGCCAAGATGCATTCCTTGTCCTGCAGCGAAGTATCATCAATATTATTCTGATTGGCTGACAGGATAACGCACATGTCACAGAGGTTGATGTTGACGGCCCTTAAATCAGCCCGACTTAATGGCGTACCCTTTGGCATAGAAGAAGGGGAAAAAAAAAAAAAAAAGAAGAAGAAGCCAAAGTGAGTACGAGGGACAAGAGGGAAAGAGGGGAGGAAAAAAAAATAAAAACAAATTAAGGATCGAGCCAGAGCTTTGGGAAATTATTTAACAAGTATCTTTTTTATGCCTTGACATTAAGCTGGCCTAACTACATTCAAGGGAATAGGAGCTGTGTGCTAATCTAAAGGGTAGTCAGTGCTGATGGCGGCATTTCAGGCTTGCTCTCTACACTCCATCAAGCCGTTGCTAACAAACGAGGGAGAGGAATAATGCCAGGGTCCTACATCTTCTTCCTGCCTAGAAATTGTCTTGATTTAGGAAACTGTCCTGTGGCAACCTCTGGCTTTCAGAACCTAACGAGAGGGTGGGTTTTAAATGCCTGTTTATTTAATAGCAGGTCACTTCTGTCTCAGGCAAAACAACGCAGCTCCAACTAGAATTTCCAATGCAGCCAAGGGGAAATAGCCAGCGAGCACGGTGTGATCCAGGTGGGGGTGGGGGTTGCTGGTGGTGCCGCTTATTAACCTGGAGGACGTGGGAGGGTTGGAAGGAATGTGCATCTTGCAAAGGTGCGGGGAGAGGAGTTAAGCTTCGAGTCAAATGATTGTATTGCATATTTTCAGCAAGAAAACAAAACAAAACAGAGGGGAGCCTCGGTGGCTCAGTCAGCTGAGCATCCCGCTCTTGGTTCGGGCTCAGGTCCTGATCTCCAGGTCGTGAGATTGAGCCCTTGGCTCCGCACTGTACATGGAGCATGTTTAAGATTCTTTCTTCCTTTCCCTCTGCACTCCCTCCTGTTCTCCTTCTCAAAACAAACAAACAAAACCAAAACCAAAAAAACAAAACAAAACAAAACAAAAACGAGAAAATTCCCTAATTGACCAACAACATAGGGATGGTTGAATACTGCACTGGCCATACAATCAAGGGAAATGTATGCAGTGGGTAAAGAGATCAAAACAGTTCTCCACGTGGCATAGCCTTGGAAGGATCTCTGAAACAGTGGGATAAGTAAGGGGGGGAAAACCCACAAAAAACCAAGTTCTAGATAATTCAGAAAGTCTGATTTCATTTATGTAAAAAGGAACCCACAACATAAAAGTATATATTCATGAATATGCTTATAAATGCACGTACCTTTCGAGAGAAATTTCAGAAAAAATATACACTAAATTAATAATAGTAATTACCTCTAGGGAGGAGAATAAGATTGGGTTTAAAGGAAAAAGTTTGTTTTTGACTTCACATACTTCTGTCTCATTTGAATATTTTAGAACAAGGATGTATTTGTATTTTACCAGTGTAATTAAAAATAAATAAGCCAGTAAACAGATTTTTTTTAATCCTATAACAACAAAAAGCACTGGGCGGGTGGGGGGGCGGGGGGTTGGGGAACAGAGCAAGGAGGTAATGACAGAGAGGTAGATAACACAAGCTCAGGATTAGTGGTAGAGGGGAGAGGTGTGACCTCCGCATGCTCTGTGTCCCTAGGAGGGATCATAGCAGAACGGATCAGGCCATCCCATGTCGGGGTTCCCCGGGGCCATAGGACCTCATTCTAGAGTTCACAAACTTGGTTTTCCAGCCTGAAACCAGCTTCTGCTTTGCCTACATGGAGCTCTGAGTTGCCTTCAACTCACTGACTGTATTGGGGGGTGGGGGTTCTGCCCACCACCAGATATCCCTGGATCCCTTCCTCCCATTCTTCCTCTTCGAGAAGGGGCTGTGAGCTGACGGTATGTGACCACACAGATTGAGACCATCAGCCGCCTTTTATGTCTCAGTGAAAGTCCTGATTCTGTTCTCAGCCCCCAAAATACTAAGACAAAGTGGTATGATGGAGAAGAGGCATTTAGTGCTATGGGGCTGAGAAGCAGCTAGTTCTGGGCTCTGGAGCAGTATGTTTTGAATGAAGAAGAATCCCTCTTTCCAGGGATCCCTCAGTACAAAAGTGTGACCGACTTCCTGAATCATTTTGCCAGTTCATAAGCCTCAATTGCCTACATCCATATTCTTTTAATTTTCACCTTGTAGGGAATCCAGCAGTAATTGTGATATAAGACAATCCCTGCACAGTTATATACACATGATTTCAAAACTCAAGAAATACAAATGACATACATAGGAACACCAAGTTTCTGTGGGCTGGCTCCAGATGCGGGCCACTGTGTAAACCATGAAATATAGAAGACAGAGATGAAGGCCCATTTTGTACAACGATACTGTGCTTGAGTACACTAAATTTTGGAGGGTTTAAAAAGGACCTGCAAATATGAGAGCTTATTCATACACAGATCTATCGGTGAATGCAAGTATGGAAGGGTACACAGAAGGAAACACACACGTATACACCACACACAAGCATGTGTACACACACACACACACACACACACACACATACACACACACAGACTCACGTAGGCCAGCAAAATAATAAGCTCTTTACAAAATACTTCTAGACGCCAGTCCATGTGTCCCCAGGGGACCACGTGGAAAAGCACATGTAGGAAGACAATCATGAACATATATACTCAAGTCTATGATGACTGAAATTAGAAAGGTATATATCCGTTTACGGTCTTCTATGCATAGGACTATTTGTTTTTCTTCAGGTCAGTATTTTTAACTACCTGTGTTAACCAAAACCGTTTACCCGTTTATCAAATCTAGAAATGTTTAAAAGTTTATGAAAAATATATTGATTAATGATTAGGAAGTAATTAGATGACTCCAAGTTCATGTACCCCATGTCCTTACACTAAATTATGGAGTCTCAAAATGTTCCTTTTAGATTTGGGTCCTAGCATTTTTTAAAACCAAGGATATCCCATGCGCATAGGCACACACATACATACGAGCTCATCAAAACATTTCTAGGCTTCTAAATGAATGGGAGGCAGGGAGTGGCCAGGAGAAGGGGTTGGCAGCAGGAATAAAGAAAGAATTCTGTTAAATCCACTTGGTTAAAAACAGAAAGTGGTACAACCAAGATTTACAGAAGCATTAATAATGTCACAAATAAGAGGATAGAAGAAGTTCCATAAGTAAATTCTGCTATAAGCATCATAATATCTCAAAGCACTAGGTTTGGGTAGACAAGAGAGAGAGTGTAGAGACACTGATATGGTAATGCCTTCGATACCAGCCTAACTTCATGCTCAATGAGCAGCTGAACTTGGCTGCAAATTCCTTTTAATAAGGTCTCCCAGGGTTTAGCTATTCCTAGACAGAGCAGAGGGGAAGGGCTGAGTCCTCGGGCCCATAACCAGATGAAGAAGCAGACGCATGATCAAAGCTACAACTACCATATCCATTTGGGATTTTCTTTTGTGAAGGAAAAGAAGGAAAAAGCATCACTAATGTGACCTTAGACTTACCGGCAATATGGACACTTTGGGGAAGTTATGAAGCGTCTCCCACTCCCGCTTGAGGTACTCAATGGAGCCCACGAATACGATGTGCTTGAGCTCGTGGTAATGAAAGTTGCTGGCACGGAGTGGCATCACCAGGTTCCGGAGGCCAATCAGGGCTGAGCTGACATCACCAAAGATGCAGACCACGACGTGGCCACTCAGGACGGTCATGGCAGCTTCGCTTCGAGTCTGCAACAGGGAGACATAGAGCAGCATTGGAGAAAAGACCTCATAGGTTGCAATAAAGATTTAAAAAATCACTTTCATCAAGATAAACATTTGCTGAGTGCTTACTATGTGTTTTTTTTTAATTTCATTAATGTGACAGACATGCCATATATTGAGTATGTGTGTATACATTATACTGGTGTAATAAATATATATAAACATATATCCACACATACCATGACCTTCTTTGACCAAAATTTAAGAAAGTTATGCCATAACACATAGGAGTCGGTAGCCTTTCCTGGGGCGGGGTGGATAAAAGGGAATAGTAATATTTATGTTGTTTAGAAAGAGAAGTCTTAGTTTCCATGAAATTATTGATAACATAAGCTGCCTTTTCTGGCTTTCTTGCTGAAATCATGATAAAATGGTAAGATCTATGCTAGTCTCAGCTTGAGAAATTTGAGTTTTGAGTTCTGGGCTCACCAATGGGATTTCACACTATATCAGTACATCAGTAGGTAGAACATAATATCCTAAGCCAGGGGCTGGCAAATTATGGCCCACAGGCCAAATCTGGTCTATACCCTGCTATTGTTTGGCCATGGCTGGTAAGGAAAGATTGGTTTTTACATTTTAAAATGGTTGGGAGAAAAAATATTTTATAATATGTGAAAATTGTATAAAATTCAAATTCCAATAAAGTTTTATTGCAGCACAGCAACACAGCCATTTTTATTCATTAGGTATTGCCTGTGGGTGCTTTTACGTTACAACAACACAGCTGATTAGCTGTGACAGAGACCATGTGACCAGCAAGATCTAAATTACTCATTCTATGATCCTCTGCAGAAAGAGTTTGTGACCCCTCTCTACTTCTGGTCTCTGGTTTCCAGGGACATTCCTGGAGAGGCCCACCTGGGTAAGTCATCAGAGGAAGACTCCCAAAGAACCATTAGAAGGATGTAGAGATGCACCAACAAGAGCAATAAGCTCATGTCTTCCCCCGACCCTAGGCTTGATCTCAAATGAATGAATAAAATCACCCCAGTGAGTGAAGAACCCCAACTTCCCATGCAAATGGTTAGCCACTGCCACACTTTTGCTCACTGTGTTAGCGAAGAGAACAACACAGGAGGCCACTTAGCGGCCTTTCTCCACTCCTCCTTCTGGTCCAGTACCTCCCATTCCTGCCTTTCTTCCTCCTGATTCCACCCACCGCTTGCCTGGATGGCCCCATATGGCTTACAATGCTTTTGGGGAGGCATATTAATGTCCACTGCACATATCAAACTCTGCTGGAGTTTGATTGTTTAAATGCCAATATTACAATTCACAACAATGTCAGGGTTATTACAGTAACCCCCAAGGACGAGAAGAAGCCAGCTTTCCCTCCCTGATCGTTAGAATAAAGCAGGGGCTGTCACCATTATCGGTTTCCCTTTGCAATAGCACAGAAACACCTAAGACAGGGACTGTGAGATACATCCTAGAAACAGCGACTAAGGAGGACCCACTGGGAGGTCAACACCCCACATCACTACTTCATGGAGAAGACCTAGAGTTAGTTATCTCAGCTGCTTGGAAGTCTGAGTGCCTGGATACTGTTAGCAGAACATCAACCAGCCTGTAACATGCTGTGATGGGGTTACTAATTGCTTTTAATTGGAGTCTAGCTCTCTTCAATGAACCTGAGGAATACAAACTGGGTCCAGAGTGGGGGCTAGAAACCTACAATGCAGGGTGGGGGTAGGGCTCTGTTTAGCAAAGTGGCTGACCACAGGGGCTGAGCTCTGCGGACTGAAACACCAATCCTTGCAATGGCCACAGTAACATCACCGGAAGAATCTTGTCAAGATCCCAGTTCCCCGAGAGTCGGATTCTGCCCGGCTTGAGACCTACCAGAGCAACTACTTAGAGGTGCGTCTGATGCTTTCCATACATCCTTGAAGGCCTCACCTAGACAGGGCCTTACTGGTCTTAAATGCTTCAAAACACAATTTGGCTGCATAGGAAGACTTCGCTGGCCACTTAGATACATCCTAGTCCCTCTCCCCTAGATTTGAAAAGCATTTTGTGCCTCTATAACACTTAGCTTTAAATACATTGTTTCATGGTTACATGTTATGTCTTCTAATTAGATGATCCTTTCCTCCTCAAGATGGAGGCCACTTCATCTTTTCATGTTTTCTAACTCCCAAAGCTGTTAGTGTCCTGCACTCAGGGTTCCATGCAACCCCGAAGAGTCTTTGCACAGCTGGATCTTCTGAGTATTCTCATCTCTGCTCCCCTGGGACTTCACAGAGGGCTTCTTGGACCACACTGTGGTCCTAGCACCTCCTGGGGCCCTTTCTAGCCCATGGCCCTCCTTGATTGTCTTCATAGCCCTGTATCAGTGTCTGAAATGCTTTTCTATATCCCTTCGTTTACTTGGAGATCTTCTCTTGGCCTCCCCTAGAACATAAGCCCTGTGACAGCAGTCATCATAAGGGGCCTTACCCCTGGCCACAAGAGCAGGGCCTAGCACATAAATGGCCCGTTATAAATGTTCCTTTAAATGATGTTATTTTTCAGGGGTGCCTGGGTGGCTCAGTGGGTTAAAGCCTCTGCCTTAGGCTCAGGTCATGATCCCAGGGTCCTGGGATCGAGCCCCGCATCAGGCTCTCTGCTCGGCAAGGAGCCTGCTTCCCCTTCTCTCTCTGCCTGCCTCTTTGCCTACTTATGATTTCTGTCTGTGAAATAAATAAATAAAATCTTAAAAAAAAAATGATGTTATTTTTCAGAGGACGGGAGTAGTAACTCACTTCCCTAAACTCTTTCATGCCAGAAGGGACTTTGTTTGTATGCCAATCAGCTATACCCACTTCAGGAGTATGGGCAAGCCATTAAACCCTGGATTCCAGCTATGAGATCCAGCCCTCTACCAGCCACAGATGGGTAACACCAGTCTGAGTTTGGGTCAACAGAGCAGAAGTGCAGCGAACACATCACGATGTAAATGCATGCAGCCCCCTCATGATTAGAACCATTTGTGCTCCTGCTCAATCGGGCAATAGCTGTTTCTTGAGAATTCTGACTTTCTGGGCTTTTGTCTGCAATGTTCACACCTCCAAGACAGCCTCTAACACAACCCTGTATTGTCCCTTAATTGCTTGATTATAATTAAACTGAGAAAACACACACACACACACACACACACACACACACACTCACTCATATAAAACACAGGAGAAAATCCAGTGGATTAGAGTACAAATCCTTTCCGAGGAACTGGAGCAGCCCTTTTCTAAGAAGGGCAGCCATGACATCAGAAATGATAGGATTTTCCTGGCTAACACAAAGAAGCAGGGCACAGCAATCTGCAATGAGAAGGCATCTGACCTTCCTGATTATTAATCCATTTTTCATGGATTAGGAGGACAATAAACTGTAGGGAACCTGATGTGGGCATTAAAACCTAAAGCTGTTAACAGGACAAGTCCAAAGAGTAGAATGGATTATTATCTATGCTGACGTTCCTAGGAGAGACCAGAAGAAGCCCACTGCTGCTGCCAATGTGACCCAACCATGAAACAGGGCTCTGAGCCCCCACATCCGAGGCGGCCCCATGGCTCATCATTGTCATCATCAACAAATGCATTTTGTATCATGTGCTAAGAAGGATCCCAAATGTACAAGGCTATTATCTAGAAGAAGACAAGACATTGTTATAAACAAGTAACATTGTTTATTTTATTGGTAGCATTCACAACTCTTCCTGGTATTTAATAATAATAATAATAATAACAATAACAATAATAATAAGGAGGAGGAGGAGGAGAAGTAGTAACTCTATTGAGTTACTGCAACCCTAGGAGTTAAGGTCAGTCTCCTATCTCATCTTCTTATAGGTAAGAAAACCAAAGTGTAAAGAGGTCAAGGAGAGTCACATCCATAGGAATTAGATACATACTGCCTCCCATGATGCCTTGCACATAGCACAGGACTGCCCCATATTGTAATAAGCCAATAAATATTCAGAGATTAAAAATTCCATCCTTGGTACATATTCTGATGAGAGTTCTAGCTGCTTTAATCTGAGTCCCAAATTTTAATGATCAAAAAATAGTTAGGACCAGGGACTATATCTTTGCACCAGCCAGTTAGGGAAACCTCATTCTTAGCAATGGTAGTTTGGGACCGAAGTGGATGGCACAGATTCTGTGGCCCGCCACTCACCAGGATGACTTTCTCTATCTCCTTGGGTGCACACCAGTGAAACATGCCAGTAGAGTCATACTTCTTCACGTTGGAGTCCATGTTGTCAATCTGATCGTTGCCGGGAATTAACAAGGGGTCATGCCTGGGGAGAAAAGGACAAGAAAACCTAAGTGGAAAATGTAATAAATTATAAATGGAAAGTGCCCCCTGAGTTACAGCTCAGAGGAATTGAAAGATGCACAGGAAGTGGCTGTCACTGAAGGCCATTCTTTTGCTTGCAGAACCCGTTCTTTGAAAGACAACTGCCCCAACCACCACCACCACCTGGAAAGGCAGGCGACCTTTATCAGCTAGTAATTCTGCCTTTCCCCTCCGGTTCCCATTTCTCTAAAATGGCCTTCACTTCGTTTTGTGGATTTAGACCCTTTTCATGGATACCTCTCCTCCCTCCTCTTCTTATTTTACCAGCTATCCAGTCTCCCCAGTGTTTGCGTGTATGTGCACGCTCACACACACACACACTCGCTCACACCAAAGGGTTGTTATTAGCATTGGCAATGAAGAGGAAGGAATAGGAATAGAGCCTCATGCTGACTGACTGGCATGAGGATGGAAAGCCAATTACCTGCTCTTCCTGACTACAACTTCTGACGTGATGCTCTTCGCAGTAAAAGCTTTAACAGGCTGCACTTTAAATATTTTAGCAATTTGCCCAATCAGATTTTGCTCTCCCCGGCTGAAGCCCTTTAAAGATTCAGCAGCATGTCACTTCAGAGCAGATTGACTACCAAATGCCCACATCTGGAATACATGATTTCAATACTAAACAACACCCTCTCTCCTTGCCTTGACAACTGTATTTGCCCTCGCCATCCGATGACGGTCTCCCCTACCCCCACTGTACCTCCCGACTGCAGCCATCCTTGGATGAGAGCTCAAGCTCAGACGCATCTTAATAAACTTGCCTTGAATTCACTCTCTTGCCTTGTTTACTGGCGGAAAGGAAAGATGCTGCTACAGAGGCCGCCCCTCCAATGGGCTGGCAGAGCCTCACCGACAACCTTGGGAATTACAATAAAATCAGGCGGGTCTAACAGGCTCACAGCATAAGAGACATAGTCCTACATCTTGGGCCATATCCATTGTCCAGATTCCATCTCTAGTAGTGATTGCATATCTCAGTTTTGGGGGTAGGTTGTTAAGGTTTCTACAACACCGACCGCATATAATTAGGACAAGTCCCAGGCATACACATACCTACATGTCCTTATAAGGGAGCTATCTTCTCTAAAGAATATCACCATTTCAAGATAGAAAACATAAATAGGTTCAAATTCCAAAAACTTACTATAATGTGATTTTGCCTTTTAAATCATCTATTTTAAGCATCAGTGGGTGACCATTTAGTTTTTAGTATTTCTCCCCTTGATGTTTTCTCTGCTACTTCTCATTTATATGTCCACTACATAGAGAGTGGGATAGGAATCTCTCCTACATGATCCACAGACCTAGAATTAAGCTTTCGGGATATCAGGATATGTATCATGAACACCCTCCCCAATACTCACTCTACCCCCTTAAGATGGGAAAGTTCTCCTGCCTTTATTTATTCCTGAGAATCTCTTTTGGGCGATGCCAAATACCAAATACTGTGTGAGGCAATCCTGCAAAGTTGTCTTCAACAAACATGCTAGATTACTATAAGAACTGTCATATCTAATCTTCAAAGGAGAAGAACAATCCACCTTGGAATAGCATCTCGGTAGCTGAGCTGTTGAGAGGTCTGAAGGTGTTGTAAACCACCAGGCCACCTTTCAAATACCAAACTCGGTCAAAAATGCTAAAATAAAAAGGCAGTTAATCCTAAGAACTGGTCAAGATCAGGGCAAGAGCAACTTTTGTTATTTTTTTTTCACCCTTGAAGAATCTTTAAAAGTTTTTATAGATATCTGTCTATGATAGGTAGGTGGACAGAAAGCACCAAAGAGAAGAGATTTCACAAAATGAAAAGAATGAACTCTTCCCAGCCCTAGGAGAACATATTCTAGTTGCAAGAGGATCTTAATAAATTTTTCTGGAAGAAATAGAGCCAGCTTCAAATTCTCTTGACCAGTAAACTGGTTACAGAGGAAGTATTATCTCAAAACGTCCTGAGAGCTGCCCCTAATGCCTCCAACCCTCATCTTACAAAAGTAAATAAACAACCCTGATATCAGTTATCCCTCAATGAGAGGGAAAAAGACAGTATTCTAATGTCAAGTCTCACTAACTGGGGTGAGGGTCTGGGAAAAGCATGTTATAATTTCTTTAAAAAAAAAAATGTTATTTGTTCTCAAAGTATAGTGGTCATACCATGCTATATTAATTTCAGGTGTCATTTGACACTAGGGTTGCAAGCCATGATTGGCACTGTGATATCCAGAAGCATCTGAGAAGTCTCTGTGGTCTGCCATGCTGCTCTCTGTACTCCCTACATGCCTCTCACCCTCATCTGGATAATTTAAATGTATTACCCAGGACTGTCCCCAAAGGGTCTAAGCTGAGGACCATTAAAAATCTCCCCAAACAAAAACATTCCCTTTTCTGGCCAGCCATGGCACCTGGACTTTGACCTTTGATTTCTTGAATCATCAAAGCAATGAATAAACATGAATTTTCTATTTTGATCTAGGAATGGAGGCTACCCTGATGATTAAGATGCAGTCCCTAGTCAAAGAGAAGGTCATAATATAGCAAGAGAGAGAAATGTCAATCAATAGTTGTGATACAGTGTGATGAGTGTTATATCTTATAAGGTGGCATGAGAATACCAAGAAAGAAACTGTTCATTGCCTGGGATTTGAGTAACATTAAGGAAGGCTGCCCAGAGAAGGGAACATTTTATCTGATCCCTGAAAGGTGAGGAGGAATTGCAGATTTTAGTGTTGCTCTACGAGCAGCCATTAGGACCCACTCAGAGACTTGAGGCCCAAATAAGCCCAAGGATGGTCCCCCAAACCATGGCTGGCGGTCCTTAAAGAGAAGATCGAATCCACTGATTGCATATGACTGATTGAAAGCAGGCTAGGAAATGTGTGGAATTTAGATAGAAAAAAATCAAGCTTCCAAACATGAAGAATGTCATAGACATGGAAGGGGTTTAAAAAAAAAAACAAAAAAAAAAAACCAAAAAACGACGTGTTTCTCAAGGTACTGGATTTCTCCTCATTTGAGACATTCCAGAAAAGCCGAGATACGGAGATTTCATTACAAATGTTGCATGAACCTAGAAGAACTTCAAGGTTTAGCACTGCTCTCTCACTGAGAAAGTGGTTGCTAGAAGTATTCTGGAACTATTGGGCCACCACTGGGCATCAGAAGGCCAGGAGGCACTAAGTAACTGAAGAAAGGTTGTTGTTGGAGTGAAGATGGGAGATAAGAAGAAATAAAGACTGAAGACTTCAGAGTTCCATGAAGGATCATGGGTGTTCCTCATCCACTGGGTTCTACCATCTAGAAGGAAGCTTGGAACATGATTCAGTCCAACAACACAAGGGTCTGTAACTACTTTGAGCAAGACAGGATGAATTTCCTTACCATGTCTGTTCCTGTAGTTATTTCAAGTGGTTTAAGTTGACTTAAACTGCAGAGATCTCTGACATAGGTGAACACTGAAAAGCCAATTGGCCACAGGAACTTCCAAACTAAGGTTTTTGGAGTTTACATCAATAAAAGAAAGTTCTAGCATTTGCCACTGAGCACAACAGCCAATAGTGCTGTAGTCAGGGGAGGCCCAGGAGAAGAACCAGACAGTTTGTTTTACCTAGAAAGGAAGTCCTCCAGAAATCTCCTTGAATAAAACATCCAAGCAAAATTTATTTACAAAATGATTAAGAGAACCACATTCAAATGTTCTCAGATGATTCCTCAAAGACCACTTAGTTGGAAGTAAGGAGAAATACTAGATATTGTCTTTCTTGTCTTAATTATTTTATGCATTTCCTCAACTCACAAAGTAATCTCAACTCCTCTAAAATGCACTGTAATTGATTCAAGACTCATTTGTCATTTACCATGGAGCCAATGTACATGCATTATTTTAAAGTTACAGAAACTCTGTGAGGTGAGGTCTATCTGCTGCATAGTTGGTCAATGAGCATAATTTTGTCCCCCACAAACTCTGTGTATCAAAGTCTGAACTTTTTTTTTTTTTTTTGTGACTGGACGATACAGTCTTCAAAGAGGTAATTAAATTAAAAAGAGGTCATTAAAATGGACCCAATTCAGTATGGCAGCTGAACTTAGAACAAGAGGAAATTTAGACACAGACACGTAGAGACATGTGAAGACACAGGGATAAGACAGCCATCTAAAAGCCAAAGAGAGAGACCTAGAACAGAGCTTTCCTTCACTGACTCAGAAGAAACCAACCCTGCTTGTACCTTGATCTTGGTCTTCCAACATTCTGAACTGTGAGAAAAATCAATTTCTATTGATTAAGATTTCCAGTATATACTACTTTGTTATGGTAGCCACAGGAAATTCATAAACAGTCCACCTTGGAAAATGGGTACAATGTATTAGCTATTGGTCTCTAGAGTGACCCCAGCTGCCCTTCTTGCCCTTCAGTTGCATGTTCATTTCAGGGAGAAAAGCATTCTTCCACCAGTTTAGAAATACACAGAATTAGACCAGAAATACACAGTATCTTATTCAAAGAGTTTGGACCAATATCCCTCCCTCCTCAGCCCACCCCACCCCAACATACATATACAGTTATATGTGCTCTGCCCCAGAGGGCACGTCTCTCTAGTCTTTAACTTGCAACAACATTTTTGGATCAGTACCTATGACAACCCAATTCAAAGGAAAGAGGAAGCCTGTTAATTTACTCATTTGAGGGACATCTGGGTGGCTCAGTGGGTTAAAGCCTCTGCCTTAGGCTCAGGTCATGATCCCAGGGTCCTGGGATAGAGCCCTGCATCAGGCTCTCTGCTTAGCAGGAAGCCTGCTTCCTCCTCTCTCTCTCTCTCTGCCTGCCTCTCTGCCTACTTGTGATCTCTGTCTGTCAAATAAATAAAATCTTTAAAAAATTAAAAAATAAAATAAAAATTTAATTTACTCATTTGAACCAAGAGTCTTTCTCCAAAGGTGGTAGAAATC